GTCGGCGAATCCGTAACGAGGCAGTTAGAAAGCGTGTTTTCGGTTGTGTAACGGGTACTTCCATTGAATGTGTCCAGCACCAGAAGCTGCGTTGGTTGGGACATGTGTTACGCATGCTGAACCATCGTTTGCCGAAGAGAGTGCTGTTTTCCGTGCCTACTTCTGGCGTAAACAGAGAGGTGGCCAACCTTTGACTTTGCAGAGGAGTATGAAGGAGATCACGAGACGCTTGGGTGCTGTCGTGCTACTCGCGATGATGATGATGATGAAGTGGTCCAAATAACTCAGTAATCTAGCTTCGGGATTTTACTGAACTGCAATGAAGTTTTACGGCTACCTCCTTCCGAGCGTTTGATAATAAAAGTTACCTACGCGGATGATACAGCTCTTCTCTGGTCGTAAATCTCTACGTAAATGTAAGAAATATGAAATGGTTCGAATAATTCTGTTGCACGGTTTTGTGTGCGCATAGCCTGGGATAGAGTAACCGCTGCTACGGGACGGGTTCGGTTCGGTATTTGCAGATGAATCAATATACGTCCTTGCTCTAGTCAAAAGCACAGTTATCCTTCTAATGGGGAACGACGTGGTCGTTGACACGACACCGTTTTTCCGTCAAGGGCAGTGTCAACAACGCTGGAGCGCGTTGTTTACCTTTGTGCGCTTCATAGACTGGCCCACCACGAGCGGAATGCATCTGAATAAGCTTCAGTGTCTGACCGTCAGGGACTCCGAAGCATTGTGGGCTTTTGCATGGAACACGTGGGCGTTAGTTTTATAGTTAGGCTTTTCTTCAAGAGATTCTGGGGTTAGAGAATTCATGCAAAGGGTCAACAGATTATACCTGTGTGGTTGCGGTGACTTACACGTTTGGCAGGTCACTCACTCAACTTGGTACACATTGTTTCCAGGAACTGAAGGCAGCCACGAGCGAGCCCAGTCACACTTAAAACCCTTTTCAATGGTAGGGACGCGAGACGGGTTTCCAATGCCTATTGTCATCGATAAATGTGGTACATTCGCCAGTCCAGTTGCACTCCTGTGTCAGTGGATAGCTCAGTACTTCCATGGCTCCTGATACACCAGAATGTGCCGCCGTAACTGCATCTACACTTGAGGTTTTTTATCTGTTACCTCCAATTGGCATCCCAGTCTACTATTCGTCAGTAGCTGGAAACGTACCACTTGCATGGATTGAGTGACAATGATCGCCTTTCAATGACTGTGATCAAACGTGGTTTTTGCGGCGTACACAAAGTATTCTTATCTGAGCGACTGTATACCGTGCGCAGCCTTTCCAGATGGAATGAAATTTGCAATTCCTGACATCGAGGTACGTCATCTGTCATACAATGAAATTCAGGAATAAAATACAGCTCCGTCTAGTGCAGTGTTTCTTAAACTGATGGGGAATTTCTTACTGCGTGATTTGAAAGTTCCGAGGTGAGAGACCAAAGTCATGCAGGCCCGAAATATCATGCTTTTGATGGAGGGACTATGAATGAATCAATCGACATTCACTTTTTATCATTTACTGTGTACCTCACTGACCATTTGTATATCCCTTCCCCTAAATGTATCTTCATTTGTCAAAGCAACTGGGCAATTGTCTGTTCGGGTTTGCGCCTAGACCTCGGATACTCTCACTTTTGGAAGCCTCCAGCATACGTGATACCAAAAATGTACTTACTCGAGGTGGACATTTGGAACCGTTCAACATCAAATTTGGGAGCGTTTGTGAGCCATAAGTTGAAGGAGCTGCGTTGTGTTAGAGGTCGAGATGTTTTGCTGATTTGTTGTATTCACTCACCGGTTTTAAAGGAAACAGCACTGTTGAGTGGCCATTATATGACGACTGGTTATTTTTTCTCTAGCGCTTATTGTAACTGCTGGCCTCCTGCAGTTCGGCCTGCGAGTATGATGTGGAGTGTTTGTTAGCCTTATT